GGGGGTGGGGGAGGGGGTTGGGAGGGGAAATGTGTATTTTTTTTGGAACGATTCCCTTTTGGGGTTAATAGCCAAACTGAGACACATTTCATCGCATTTCAAAAACCCATGGCTGGTAGAACTCTTCTGTGAAATGAGAGGCTAAGATTTTCACTCAACGTTCGCCTCAATTTTTGCAGTTATTCAGTAGCCGAGAAGCCAAATGGCATGTAGAAATATTGTTAAAGGTACCAACTGTCAAAATTCGTTGCAATAATCATTTCTTGATCGCTAACAGCATTGTAAATTTTTCCTGTGTCACCAGCCACTTTTCACCATTTTCAAAGAACTGCCATGATGAACATATCCATGGTCGGGGGCTGAAACTAGCCAGGTGAATGGCTCAAACAGTTTACTTCCTCTTTGCCAAATTTGGTAGCAATCAGAAGTAAAACAAATTTTGTAGAATTTTTTTTTTATATTGATCCATAGAGATCGATATTTATAGGACCCGAGGGAAATGAGTTAAGACAAGACCTATGTTTGTGTCCTGGATTCATTACAATTTGCACACAGGTTTAATTGAACTTACATCATTGAATTAGATTTTAAAAGTTGGCTTTGCAGTTGATTACTCTGCACCTTCACATCCTGTTCAAAGCTTCTGGTCCAGAAAGACACCCAGTTCAAGGCAGTAAATTTTTGAAATAGTCTAGTTTTGAGTTCGCTATGACCGCTGAATTAAAGAAGTGAAGATGCATTTTTTACGGGTTAGCCTCCATCTGAAGTTATGTATTTGCAAATTCCAACTAGAAAAAGACCTGTTTATTACTCTGTCTATTGTGTATATTTAAATTTCAAACACTCACTTGCCAGAATTTCTTAATATTTTACTTTACGTCGAGGCTAAACCCTGCATGAATGTGTAATTAATGTTTGCTTTCAGCTGTAATTTTTAATTAGAAACTGAACTATTGTATACAGTACCGTGTTTAATAATCAGACCCCTAAAAGAGTATTGGTTTTGGTTATTAAGGCGAGGTGAGGGTGTACTCCTCCCAAGGCCGTGCTCTAAGGAAAATTGAAGGGAACCCAGTACTCTAAATCTGTGAAATCTAGGGACCCCAGCATAATTATATTTTGTATGACAAAATAAGATTTTCTAGTAACCTGAGTGCAAAAGTTAGGTATGGGGGGCAACCAGGCTCTGTTAGAGCACAGATCTGCCTTCTCCTTGAGGGGCACAGGGTGGTAGGTCAGAGATGTTTTTTCAAAGATGATCTTGTTGTTAAGTTGTGATGCAATAAGCCTTTGATGTTATTTGTTTGTTTTCACAGTGATGTTCTTAACTTGCCCATTTTTAAGGATGAACCTTCAGCAGTCTTTCAGAATATGGAAACCATAGATCTGGACTCTTCAGCTGAGTAAGTGTACTTCATTTAAACAACAAAGTATAGAGTGTGATTATCTAGAGTATCAAGTGTGATGTAATGAATAAGTTTGTCTGTTAAAGTGGTCATGGTAAAATGCTATACACCTGTTTTACAAGCAGCAGGTTCATTTTTTA